TCAGTGTAAGTAGGCTCACATAAAATGCCATGCTACTTCAGTTGATGAGCCCTCTCACCACACCAAGGGGCTGTAAGGCTTTTAAGTTTCCTTCTCTCTTAAAGCATTCATTCGTTTTTGGCTACCAGTGCGCTTTCCTCTCTTTGGCAACAATCTCCAGGAAATGGGAGTGGTTCGCATAAAGGGGGAAAGATGAGTCAAGGTCAACCCACTGGACCTGTCCGGCGTCATCACCAGCTTCCAGTGGCAGCTCGCTCACGCTGTTACCTGATGTAAAAACAAAGAGATTTGTTTGGTATGATCTTTTCTTGTGTTTACATATGAACACAAAGCTGGTAACACACAACGAAGATGGAAACCACCTCAAGAAGACTTCAGCGATCCTACTTTACAAACATGTACAGATAGAAATGGAGGCTACAGTGCTGACTGATCATCACTGTTGAAGTTCAGGGTCTGACTGTCTGACTGCTGGGCTGGGGTCAGCATTCACTCAATTTTAACATAACTCTGGCTTTTTCACTAGCTTAGCATCAGCATGATGTATGTGCAGATTCTTGCAACTTTACCAACATCCTCTTGTCCTTTTGTGCAATAAAAACAAAACTAATCTCCATAACTTCACTCCTCAAATAATGTGAGTAATAATAATTGAAAATTAAATATAATTACTGAATTTAATGGAGTAACACGTTCTTTAATTGTTGTATTACTGAAAAATCTAATGTCATTGTAGTTTTAAGTAACATATTACACCCAACACTGGGCGCCACCAACTACCAAGTCTTAAATCCAATCTGGAAGTGCTTTAAAACCTCCATTTCTTTTTTTCTAATATACAGCAGGGGGCGACTCAAAAAGACGTTTTAGGTTGTTTTAGGTCTTTGCGCCACATTGTGACTGACAGGTTGATACTTTTTGAATATGCAGTGTGTGAGGGTCAGGAAACCAAGACAGTGACCGCCAAAATCTTGAGGATGAATCTTCAAAACACGACTTAACGAACCAATGTGTGACATTAAAAGTGGCCACATTCATCTTTTATATACAGTATTACGGTCCAGTGTTTTATATTCATATACATTCATCAACTTTTTTAAAACGCTAGAAAAATGCTGACAAGCAGAGGTGAAAGAAAAAAGAAGGAATAGCATTCCTCATAATTAATGATACCTAAGTCATCGTGAAAGTTGACAGCAACCGTCTCCATCCAGGAATTGTCAGTGTTTCTGGGATCATCGACATAGCCCTTATAGACCTGAAGGAGAAAGATCACAAGCTGTCAGCCCTCAGAGAAAAAGCCTGATAGTTGACCTGACAGACCCACCTGGTGATTCAAATATGGCAGCAAACACATAAGCCACTTTACGAACCATAAATCCTGACGATTTGAAGAGATTGGTGATGCGCTGATGGATTTCCGCTCTCTCTGCTGGGGAACTCGAGAGCGAGTTCAATGCTTCTTCTGAGAACTCCCGCTGCAGTGTGAGAGAAACCTGCTCGCCTGGATCTACCATGCCCTGCAAAAACAACAACAGGACTATAACTTCTTACATATCTCCAAACCCCTCCCTTCCACGACAATGAAATCTTGTTTTTGCTGCCCTACAGCATTTTTGTAGACACCATATGGCAAGCAAGAATGGCGGGACGCCCCTGTATAGACAGAAGAAACATAAAAAACACTTACCCCAGGAATGGCCCACTCCCCACAGTCCTTCCTCTTGATAGACACAAACTGCAGAACAGGCTTTTGGGAGACTGAGTGGTGAATCTTTGCCCCTTTGACATCTACCTTCCATCTGTCAGATGGTGAAATGTGCATAAATGCAACCGGTTGTCTTTGAATTCATCGACTTTTAGCTATGATATGAAACTGTTTCAGTTGAAGTCAGCTTTCAGATGGATATCAAATTACTTGGCACTAATGTGCACTGAGATTTCCACTTTTAAATTATTCATGCGCGGTATGTGAGTGTGGATAATTGCACTGTGTAAAGCAAAAGAACAGGTACCTGGTGACTATTGGATCTGCTGCATGGTTGGGTCCCCATCGTCCTAGCAACCCTCTGCCTGCCAACCCTGTGCGTCCACAAGGATTTCTATGGGAGTAAAATTTTTTATATGGAGTTTTGAGACTTGTAAGCAATGCCTTTAACAATAACAGCTAATGAAACAGCTCTGCAGTGTGAAAGGTTTGCTAACACTGCAGTTACCAGGGCAAATTCTACTAAACTGGATGTTTTATTAAATATCGGAAAAACCATCTTAGAGGTATAACTTACAGCGGTTTTCCATTTTCCACTTTATAGCTTCCCTCAAAGCTCGTCCTGTCCACAGCACCATCCACAGTGTTAAACTTTGGAGAGGAGCTACAAAACAAGTGTAGAAAAAAAATCTATAATGCTTCATAGATCAGATTACATTACTCGCATGGCGCTACCAGAATGTACTTGATAAGCATTAAAGGTGCTATTTGTTGCTCACCCAATATCAGGATCCGCCCAGGCTGGGTTATTTAAAACTGAAGGGGCCGTGTAGCTGACTGGATTATACTCGGGCCACTTCTGAGTCCAGTCCACCTTGTCATCAGGCACAGACAAGCGCTTGATATTGGACCCTGGATACTGTGGGCATCTGGACTTTACATGAGGCCCTACTGAAGATGGCATGGTCGAGTGCCGGCGGCAGTAACTAGTGTTGTCAGCGCTGATGGTTTTACTGGTTGGGAAGGGGTAAGAAGAAGGGCAGGAAATAGCAGGCCTAAAGGAGAGAGAAGATAATGTAAGTACTCCACATGCACTCCTTTCTCTCCACATTATGAAAATGCCATTGCCCCTCAATGATGACAAGAAATATCTTCTGTCACACGCACATAGATTAAAGGAGTAGGCCGTTAATCAGTGCAGGGCAGCGGGATTACAGCTGCTGTTACACAGCTGCTTCTGCCGTGTTGAAATCTGTACAGTGATCATTCTGTATAGCTGATCTTCAGTGGTCATGTCTATAATCTCGTGCATATTAACATCTATTTTGATATCCATTGTGAATAAATTGGATTGTGCATATAACCCAAGCCACTGTACAGTACTAAAATTACCTGGTGAGCACTATTCAGTCAGACTTTATATTTCCCTATGCTTATTAGCTTGATAGCTTCAAGGTAAAGGCTTATAAGTAATGTTCCCGTCCATACCTTACTCCGGAGGTCCAGACGGTATGCGGGAGTCCGAGAAGAGTAAACGCTAAACGAATCGGTCCGACCAAGTGTCGCCGCAGGGGTAAATGTATCATTCCTCCAATCAATCAGTAGCCTAGAAAGTACAACACAACGGAAACCAGGAAGTGCAACGCCCTGCAAGGTGACGTCCGCAAAGGGGTGCGCCTACGACGGTGGCGCTCGTTTCCATAGTGATCGGCCGTTTAAAGTTGATTTAAAAAAAAAGATGACCGACAGGTAAATGAATGTCCTGTATTTGACATGTATAGCTTAGTGCAACATAAAAAAAATAAATGAAAATAGTGTTGTTGTTTTTTAATGTTTTGATCGATATCTGCATAATGTGCGAACGTTTGTAAGCTTTTAGAAAACATTTCCGTGTAAGTGTCGGTAAATTGTTAAAAACGCGGAAAGAGAAAAAATAGAGAAGGGAGTCAGTTTGACCAAACAACAACCTGATGACCTTCTCTGGGTGAGCACTTGGTGACAGTGAGTAGGGAAAATTCGCTTTCAACAGAAAGAAACCTCCTGTAGAGTCAGGCTCGGGGATGACCAGATCGACCGGGTGGTGAAGGGAAAGAGAAGAGAACCAACACAGCCAAGGTTTAATAATCACTGATGAGTAAATTCAATAGCACAATGCAGCTTAGCGTAACTAAGGGGTGGTTCAGGGTCACGTGATCCAGCTCTATAAGTTTTAACAAAAAGGAAGGCTTTTAGGTCTAATTTTGGAAGTAGATATGGTGTCTGTCTCCCAAATCCAAATTGGGTCCTGGTTCCACAGAAGAGAGAATCCTGGGGCTCTGCCTCCTATTCTACTTGTAAATACTCTTGGAACCACAATTAAGCCTAGAGTCTGCAAGCAAAGTGCTCTGTTAGGATAATGTGGTCCTATGCACGATATGATGGGGCCTGACTATATAAGTGGTTGTATGTGAGTAGACGAGTTTTAAATTCAATTCTGGATTTAACCGGGGGCCAATGAAGAGCAGCAACTCCATGGGAGAAATATGATCTCTTTTCCCCATCTCAGTTAGTACTCTCACTGCAGCAACAGTACTTGAAAGAGACATATGTTTATGATAGATAGATAGATAGATAGATAGATAGATAGATAGATAGATAGATAGATAGATAGATAGATAGATAGATAGATAGATAGATAGATAGATAGATAGATAGATAGATAGATAGATAGATTATTTTATGCTGTATTTTATTATTATTATTATTATTCTGGTGTATATGGAAGAAGAAACATCCTGACACTAACACTTGTATATGTTTAAATGATGTTTGATATTTACCAACAGTAGTTGCCAGCTATATACTGGTAGTATTATTGCTGTTGTAATGTATAAATAATAATGTGATGCCTTATGTAATAAACCTGACATACAATAAAGTCTGTGTACATGTAAACAAAAAAGCCTCTCCTGTGACATTATCCTGCCACGGCGTGTTCAAACCACCATTTAAAACTATTTTTATTGTTCTAAAATATTTAATATACAAAAAAACAAAACAAGCCAAAGTTCAAATTCATCAGAAACTATTTAATTTGTTTTCCATAACAGCCAGCATGCAACATATTTCGGCACGCCCACTCGCGGCTGCTGCAAGTTTAATTCTTGTATGGCCGCTTGTTTTGCCTCACTACAGCAGCGGAGTAGGCGGTGCCTGTCGTTTGGAGCCAAATGACACGCTGCCGCCCAACGGAACCATCCTTTTAGTTAAATCTAACGCAACTCTTGCACGCGCATTTACGCTGACTGCTGAGACCAAATCCCCGCTCGCGCACGAAATCCATTTACGCTCCAGTAGTAGAGAGGGCCCAGTTGCTGCGCCCCGTCAGTCACACAGTCCGCACGATTAAAGCCTCAGACGGCCGTTAAAGAGCAGCTGAAAGCGGCGGCGGGGCCTAGTGACACTCCCTGACAGTCTCGGAGCGGTTTGGAGAGGAAGAATGGCGGATACAAGCAGCACTGCGGCGGTCGCGGCCGAAGCCTCCGACAGCGCTGCTGTCGCTGCTGCTGCGCCTGTTGCGCCCGATGCACCGCCCGTAGCTCCGGTGCCCAGGACTCCAGCCGAGTCCGTGAAAGGACAGATTTTTGACGTGGGCCCCCGCTATACGAACCTGTCGTACATCGGGGAGGGTGCTTACGGAATGGTGTGGTGAGTAGTAGCGCTTGTCATCTCTTGTCGGGCTACCGTAGCGCGAAGCGAACGCGCTAGCTAACATAATGTGTTTATTAGCAAACACTGTGAGCCAGCTCGCTTTAGCGGCTGTATTCTACAAGCGGGGTCGAGTTAATGTGTGTTCAGTCACGATGATTGGCACTTAAGACACTGTTGAACCTCTTGAGCAGCCTAGCTTTACGGTGACTCGGGTTAGCCGAACAGCCACAGGCGTGGCTATGAGCTTTACAGGAAACAAGATTTGGGGAGTGTTTGCGCAGGACGTAGTTTGCTACTGCAATCAGATCTTCTTCTGCAGGCGGCGTTTGACCGCAGAGGAAAGTTGGTTATCGCTGTAGCCACGTCCGGAACCAGCCTCAAAATCGCTCCGATCTCTGTTTTAATTCTGACAGAGCTGCTGCGGAGGATGCGAGTGACATTTGTGAGCCTTGCCGAGGCCTCTCCCTCGTGTTATCGACGTATGAGAGCTGCACCTTTTCGTGTGGACGTGTCCAACCATGTTAGATGCGTTTGATTATCAGTGTCATGTCGCTGCGTTCACAGCTCGGCCTCATGAACAATCAGATGGCACAGCAGCGAGATGGATGTTGGGCCCACACATCCCACCTCAGCAGGGCGCACACACCGTGCGGCTCTCTGCCAGCTCTGATAGCATAGTGCTATATTGTTTGTGCCATCGTGGTCACGTGACTTTGCTGCTGCTGCTTTCCCTGTTTGTAAACATTGACAGCAATAACTGTTTGGCACACTGACAGCGATCCAAGTGGTCTTGGAGTGTCTGTTAAACATGCGAAAGCTCCAAAACTTACATACATCCTCGCAATATTTCAGTGTGTTGTGCAACCCAAGAATGATCTTTCACTTAGTGTTCCTGATAAAGATGAGTGTCTTTTTTTAATGCAAAACTCACCACAAGAAAGAAACCATCCTCACCTTTTTTTCCAGCCCTGCCTGCTCCTCATGCATCCTACATCTCCATCGTGCTGACACTGCGCCCACACTCCGGCCTACAGCTACAGTGCTTCTCAACATATTACAGCCAAAAAAAAGCCCCATTGCTTGTTGTTAGTAGTGACAGTTTGAAGCACCCTTATGGAGCTCAGTGTCAGCCCAGTTTGTAATACCGTATCTATGCAGTGTGTAATCTGACCCCTGTCCTGTGCCTCTTCCCAGCTCTGCTCTGGACAACTTGACAAACCAGCGCGTAGCCATCAAGAAAATCAGCCCATTCGAGCACCAGACGTACTGCCAGCGCACGCTGAGGGAAATCAAGATCCTGCTGCGTTTCCACCATGAGAACATCATCGGCATCAACGACATCATCAGGGCACAGCAGCTCGACAACATGAGGGATGTGTATCCTGCTTTTTCCATACGTGTTAATTTATGGTTAAAAAAATCAAGCAGGCAGTCACACTGAGATTGAGATGTTACTAAAGGAGAGACAAGAACATGGTTACATTAAAACTGTCTCAAGAGTCCATAAACTCTAAACAGAGTTTAATACCTGAAGCAAGTTCTGCGAGGTTGTTGTTGTTTCAGGGAATATGTGAGATCAAATTTTTACTGTGAAGGAAGTGAGCCATCTTTAAGATGCTGAGAACAATGACTAATATGAAATTTGCGAGTTTATTATGCAAACGCACTGTAGCACACTATTCTTTACTGGATTTAGCCAATGAAGAAGTCATGCAGCATCATGATGGTACAGATGCTGAAGTCAACTGCAGGTTTGTGTGTTTAAAAAGACAAAGTAGGGCTGTTTGATTACAGATGTTTTTGGGGGGTGGGGCTCAAGTACAGGTTTAGCCCTCACCTGTAACATTTGTGACTCTCGCAGAACTTCAACCACCTCTGGTTTTTCTCTCTAAGCTTGTGGCTCGGATAAGTCAGCTGTGACTGCACAGTTATTAAAATTGTGTGGCTTGTGGTGAATTTAGACCAGACGAGCAAACACAAATTATTAATCCATCTTTTACTTGCTCTGTGTGTGCATAGAGTTAAAGTCAGTAGGATGGGTTAAGAAAGGAAACCTGGAAACATTAATGCTGTGGCTGGTAGAGATCAATCAAATCTATAATATCAGATTTGCTTCACAGAGCGAAACATTTTCATCAAATGGCCTCGAGAGTCAGTCATTTGACCACTTTACTCAAACGGCTTGAGCTGCTGAATCATTGCTAAGATCTCTGTTATTCAGCCACATTGGGCAGTAGCGAGCATCCTCGGAACTCGGCACTGACTGAGAACAGTTGTATTGTCTTCTGAGAAACAGAAAGGAAATGCATGAGTCGCATTTTTTGTGTATCCTGTTGTTTTATCTGCTTGGTTTGCTTTACTTAGTCACGTAGTGTTTATATGAACTCGTGAAAACTTGACTGAGTTTGCTAAGGATAATCAAATCTGTCCGCTGATGGCATCATCATTTAGTTACTACTTTCTGTGTGTAGCTCAGCTGGTTAGTGCACCGTGCACTGTGGGCCTCTTAACCCTTTAACAAGTGTCATTCAGCCTAAGTGGACTTATTTTGGACTCAGGAACCATTTAAATGTTCTCTAAAATGGTCGTGTAGTCACAGTAATATTAAGCACTTGTCATAAAAATCTAGTTTGAACTATTTTTCTGTCTGTGTTCAGATAGCAAATGGTTTGTGTCACAATGATGAAGCGAATATTGCTGTAAAACTCGTCTTCTTTTCTTTCCAAAACAATTTTTGTCTTTATCACAAACTGTAACAGTTGTGATCATTTAGGAGCGTTTTTTAAATCAACCAGGACTGTGCGCACATCTACCTGTCAGACTTTCCTCTATAAACCTACTGTTAATACTTGCAATACTTGCTGATCTGGATCTAGAACAGTTGAATGATTGAAATATGTATTTATGCAGTGCTGCAAAAGGATACCGAAGTATAATGGATATTCTAAATTTGGTAAAGCCACCTGTAGGCTCTTTTGGGCTATGTACACTCCTGCTAGAGTCTGTAGTCATTTAGGTTTTCTGTTGTTTGATTTGCACAACAAAATGACTCCTGACCTGAAAGATTTACGAAAAAGGCTTCAGCCGATTTTCACTGGATTTGAACCATATTTAGCTGCAGAAAGCATCCACGAAGTGTTCCTATCCTCCAGCATCAGTAGATACTAGCTGTTGTTGTCCTCCTTGACCCGTGCATCCTTCTAGCTACATTGTGCAGACCCTGATGGAGACCGACCTGTACAAGCTACTGAAGAGCCAAAGGCTAAGCAACGACCACGTCTGCTACTTCCTCTACCAGATCCTGCGAGGCCTCAAGTACATTCACTCCGCCAACGTGCTGCACCGGGATCTCAAGCCCTCCAACCTGCTCATCAACACCACCTGCGACCTCAAGGTTAGCTCACATGTGCATGCCGCAATCACCATTTAAAACGACAACAATTTTTATTTTTTATTTTTTTTCCCTCCCCTTGGTGTGGGATAGTGGATTTTACATACTTGATACAGCATATGAAGGCTCTGAGTGTAAATCTGGTCATTTGACATTTATGTGCTGCAAAGTCAGTGTTATGTGGCATTTAGGCCATTTATTTCCATGTAATTAAACATAAAAGTAGCATTGTGGGCAACAGCGGTTACATCAGCCAGCTCTCAAGAAGATTAAAAAAAAAACTTCGAAGGAATGTTTGAAGGCTCTGCCAGGAAAACCAGGTTGCTACTGTTTTAATGATACAGTCTTTGGGCCTTGTAATGTATGCTGTATTTAGAGCTTAATTGACGGCTGTGTCGCTTCCCAGCTGCAGTGTGGTTTTGGTCCATCCTGGCCACAGCTTCGGACCACATCCGGGTGTTTTATTTTGAAAACTGACCAGATGCCCAAGGCCATTCTTCTCTCTTACTTTCCTTTCTGCTCAATCGGCTCTGTGCGGTGTGATGCGGCGCTTGTCAGAAATAGACCGGGCACATATTTTTAGCTAAGCAGAGAACATCTACCTGGAAGCTTCTGAAACGCACCGCAGCACATCTGATGAGAATGACAAGTGTTCACCTCAGCTGGCTTCAGTCAAATTTTGCACTTTCAATGAATTTTAGTATGAAATGACTAGGCTCTCTAGCTCATGCTTCTTATTTTATGGCAGAAAACAATCCTGAAAACGATCCTAAAAACACCTCTCATGGTGTCTAAAGTAAGTAAGGATGCAACCACACAGTGTAAACGGTGTTTCTGCGAGTGTATTGGGAATTACAGATAAATGATAGGAATATCTTCTCTTTTAAGGAATCATAAAGATTTTGTAAGAAAGTGCATAAAAAGTGATGAAAAATAATTTAAAAAAAAAAAACAGTAAAACTTGAATACAAGGCAAACAAAATCTCATCTCCAATCTTTCTTTTTTTTTGTTGTTGTTGTTATTTTGAGCCATTTGTTTCAATGTTGCACAGCCTTAGAGTAGTCCGGGTGAACTATGAACCTTCAGCCATCAATCCCTGGTTTAGTTGGATCATGTGGGAGGAGTAAGGAACAAAGGCAGCTCGTGTTGCTGTGGTTTTCTGAAGCCTTCCCTTCCAGAGGAATAAATGCATCTAAACGAATGTTCCTGCAGCTATATACTGGATCTGTTTCCCAACAATGTTACTTACTGTACGTTTCCATATAACAAGACCAAAATCATTTAAAATAACTGTGTTGCATGCATATTAAACAGAGAAGAAAACTACATCTAAATCTAAAATAACTTTCTGAACATGCTTCACTACTTTCAGACACTCTGGAGTTTTGTTCTGGGCCAGCTGGCAGACTGCTGTTTTTGACCTCTGACCCTCTGTGTTGTTGTCAGATCTGTGACTTTGGCCTGGCGCGGATAGCCGACCCAGAGCACGACCACACTGGTTTTTTGACTGAGTATGTGGCTACTCGTTGGTACAGGGCTCCAGAAATCATGCTCAACTCCAAGGTAAGACTGGGTAACTGATGAGGGGTTTTTTTTTTTCCTTTTTAATTTATTTAGTTTTCGATAAATAAAAGATAAAAATCACAGTTGGGCTAAGTGCGTGTGTTTGTGTCTCAGGGCTACTCAAAGTCCATTGACATCTGGTCGGTGGGCTGCATCCTGGCTGAGATGTTGTCCAACAAACCCATCTTCCCTGGGAAACACTACTTGGACCAACTCAACCACATACTGGGTGAGACATACTTCTCTCTTATTTCCACATTAGAGATCAGTGATGTTAATGAGCAGCCGTCTTGAGTCTCCTTGTGTTTTTTACAGGCATTCTTGGCTCTCCATCTCAAGAAGATCTGAACTGCATCATTAACTTGAAGGCGAGGAACTACTTGCAGTCCCTGCCTGAAAAACCCAAGATCCCGTGGGAAAAGCTGTTCTACAAGGCAGACCCTAAAGGTACTGTGGCATGGTTTATTTGCAGTCCTGAATACTAGCAAGGAGTGGACATTTATATACTTCAGCATTGCTAAAGATGCAGTGTTTCACTGACTTTATCAAGACGTTACCCAACAGAAATGTACAAGAAAGCGTACTTTCTTTATGACACTAAGTCATGCTCGATTAGGCCCATGTGAGAATATAACTGGTAATTTCCCCATGATTTCACAGCTGCTGAGTTTTCTTCTCTGGATATAGTTTTGATTATCAAATGAGCTAAGGTTCCCCACAGTTTTTACTGATCTAGAAAAAAAATCTTGAACTAGTAATCAGTTGTTTTTTATGCCGCCTCAGGCAGCTTCCTCACCTAACTGTGTTTTCATTGGTGCGAGTGCATCTAGGGCAGACTATTTCCTGAGCCCTGTACTTCAAATCAAGTTCAGCATAGCCAGGTTGTCTTTCTATTATCTGATTAACTTATGTCTGCTACTAGGTCGATGCCTAATTTATGATCTTGCGCAAACTGTTTTGTTTGCGTATGGATTGAGAGAGAGAGGGGGGGGTTTGCACCCACCATAAATGTGCTCCAACATCCCAGCTGCACGTAGCTGGTCGGGGAAGACCTATGTGTTAGTCGAATGCTGATTGTTTGACAAGAGGGTTGTCGAGGCATGGGATAAGCGTAGAGAAATCATCAAAAATCATAAAATGCAGCATGGAAAGCACTGTGCAGTGGAAACATTTCATTGTTTGTAACACTGTTTCACTTCAGTTTTTTGTGGGTTAGAACTTCTCTCTTCCCCTTGGCTGGCTGTTGTACCAGCAGCACCAGTAAGAATAACCCTCAGGCCTGTTCTACCACATATTTTGTATGCTGCCTCCACTGACAGCAGATGTTCTCTACAGGTAGATGGGCAGCCCACGCACTACCAGCGAACTGCCAACTTGCTGCCGCCACTGAACTAAAATTTCAGTTTCAACCGACATGCGTATCCAAGTTAACCCCGGAGTTTTCCATGCACCTTCAGATGAAGAGGGTGGTGCTGAATTTTTACAAACCGAGATAAAACTGTTCCATAGGAAAAGAGGTTGAAGACACGACAAATAAATTAATGTTTAAAATAAGGTTTTGTTTGTTATTATCGTTTCAGCTGCACATTCTGTCACGTTTAAGTGTCCGAAAACAAGGCAGACTCCAACGCGATTGATGTGGTTTATTTGCAGTCTTGGCGTATACAAATACAAACAGGTGTTCTGTTTTAGGATCCTATATTAATGCTCATAAAACACTAAAATAGTTAATTGTTTGCAGCCAGTCAGGAGAAAGTTGCCTCTAAGGTACACACTTTATTAGGGCACAGGGGTGTGACCTCACTTCAACAGATGTCTATGTAAATGAGATCAGCTGTAAATCAGGATTGCTGTGAGCAACAGAGATTTCCTGTTAGCGACCAATTAGCAAACAGCAGCATCAGGAAATGATTCACATGATAAAAACCTGCACCAACGCCTTTAAATAAGCTGTGATATATTGGATAGAGAAATTGCCATATTATTATAATGCATTTGTCTCAACTAATATTTAAAAAATGGCTCATTTTGTGTGTTTGTGTGTTCTGAGTGAGTGGCAGGATTTAAGAAACTGTTGGAAACTGAAACGCATCAAACTTCTGGAAATGTTTCACGTGATGTTTGCTCGGGTCATCAGTTATCGGGTGAAAATTAAAGAAAAGCTGTAGGTTATATTTTTGCATAACCTGGCGAGTGAACTAACTAAGCTCCTTGTGACTTTAATGCAGCTCTCGATCTGCTGGGCCGCATGTTGACCTTTAACCCCATCAAGCGCATCACCGTCGAGGAGGCCCTGGCTCACCCTTACCTGGAGCAGTACTACGATCCTTCAGATGAGGTAAAATACAATCTTTGTTATGTGCAAAATGCACAAAGTGTTAAATTTGTGTGGTAAAGAGTTTTACACAACATACAAGCTACATAAGGAAGCTGGGTTTAGCCATTTTTCTACCGTAAGCTAAGATTTGATTTGATTTGCAGCTATATTGGACTGTGCTGTGAAGCCTCTTAGCAGTGTTTGGATTAAGTATTAAGTTTCCTCTCAGGTTGTGTAACTATAAGAGATTCAGTGCAGTAAACACATGTTCATTGTACTGTAGACTTTATTTTACCTGTGAGATTACTGCTGCTTTGTGTAAGTGTAATAATCGTGGTTATGGTGTGTGGTGTCGCAACAGTGTGAAACTCATGCAAGCCACCACCACACTGCGCTTCTCACTTTGCAAATGCAGAGCAGCGTTTTCACGAAATGACTCGTAACATTCTGCTGCTGTCTGTGTGTGCGTGTGTGTGAAACGTGCAGCCTGTCGCAGAGGAGCCCTTCACTTTCACCATGGAACTGGACGACCTTCCCAAAGAGAGGCTGAAGGAGCTGATCTTTGAGGAAACGGCCCGTTTCCAGGACAACTACCAGCCGCCGGTTCGCTCTTGAGACACAGGTACACAAAAAAGGCTGCTTTCTTTGCACCCAAACTCAAAGCAGCAACACAAGGTTAAAAACACAAAGTATATTATGGAAGAAGACACACACTTTTCCCCACATTAGCTAGATTTAGTACTTTTTCATAACACCTCTACATTAAGTTCTTTTGGAAATCTTTCTTCCTCACCTCATTGGACTACACAGCTACAGCTTGAGCTAGTCTTTCTAGTTTGAAGTCTTTTCTGCATTATTTGAGGCTAAAATCAGTGGGGGTTTTGGTATTGCTTGAGCTAATCTCGCACCATCTTAGTGATGATTACAAACATGCCTTGCATTGAGAAATCCTTTCAGATCAGGCTGAGATAAGCCAAAGAAAATCAGGAAAGTGAGATTTTTCAGATCTAGTCAACAAGCTGTAAGAGCTCTGGATAGATTTAGTTGTGGTGTGCATCCACTAGATGTCAGTGGAGTCAAGTGCTGCTCATGCAGACACTTAGACAAGCCACAGCCTAGAGTGCAAACTTGTTACAGATCTAAAAAACTACAGTAAATGTACAGAAGCAGTTTGCTTCCAGATTGGGGAATTTTGGTATACATTGACAGGACCTCACAAAGTAGTTGCTGATTTGTCGGCTGCACATCCATGATGTGAATCTCCCGTTTGATGAAGATTTAACTTTGAGTACAGTTTGAGGTTTTTGACATTGTGCGTTACAGTATCACCACAAGCCTCAACTATGATATGAGGCAAGAAGGATCTGTGCTTTTATGTAGTTTACCTTAAATTCTTACCCTACCAAATGTCACAGCTGAACTGAAAACTGTTGTTGTTTTTTTGTTTTTTAAGCCTCAGGTTCCTCTTCTTACCAGGAAATTAAAGAGACGCTCTTCTGCATATCCGTCTTGTAAGGCGTGGTTACTTGAGTTACTGTTGCCTTCCAATCAATTTGAAGCAGTCTGGCTATTCTCCTCCGACATCAATAAGGGATATTCACCCAGAAAACTGCCGCTCATTAGACATTTTCTCTCTTTCAGACCATTCTCTGTAAACTTTAGAGATTGTTTTGTGGGAAAATCCCAGTAGCTCAGCCCTTACCTGCTGTCATGTGATTTGATGGGTAGATATTTGTGTTAATAAGCAGATGTACCTAACAACAAAGTGGCCGGTGAGTGCAAGTGTCCACTGAAAAACGTCTTTCCTTGACCGTTTTATTCTACATATTAGGTCACATTTGGTTTCAGCTGCACTACGTCCTGCATGCAATCGGTGGTCAAATGTTACTTGGCAGGATTCTAATAATAGGATTAAATGATGTCATTATTAAAGTCTTCTGTTTCTTTTTCTTTTTTTTCTTTAGTCCTGAGGAGTGACAAAGAAGCGCAGAGGCTCGGAACAACTTGCTAAAAATAAAAGAAAAACGCATCATCAAGAAACCAACAAAAAGATAAAACCAAGAAATACAAGCATTAAATTGCTAATCTTTCCATTTCTACTGCAAAGAGAGAGCTAAGTTTAAATTTGATTTCTGTGCTTGGGTGGGATGGTAGGGTCTGTCGTACTGTTTTAGTTCTTTTTTTCTTTCTTTCTCCATTTTTATGCCTCATCTACAGCAACACGCTGTCCCTTTCCTCCTCATCAAACCTTTTCTTTCATGTCACTAACCTGTCTGAGCTTCTCCTGTTTCTCCTCTTTGTGTAGCCTCCTCTCATGTATACACACGTACTACTGTATTAACCAACACCATAACTTTCTTGTCATGATCCATGTAAATTACGACCTTGTAAAACTGAGGGCTAAAAGAACGGGGTATGTTAAATCGGGTGTGTATGTACATACAAAAAAAACTTGTTTTTTCTTTTCTTTTTTTAATTGTGCTTGTTGCAGTTTTTGTTTGTACAACATTGTTTAAGGGTTGTTGTTGTTTTGTTTTTTTTTTCTGAACACTTGATTTTGAAACAAACCGATGTTTTTACTGGCATGTTGGCAGGATTTCATTTGTTATCGGTCTTTTTCTTATAAAAGTGTATGATGTTCATATGAATGCATGCATTCCTGAAAACTTACCAAAGTGGCCGAGACATGCAAGGGACTTGGCTGGCGAGCAACATGGGAATAATAAAAGAGCAGGCAGACTTTTCCCTCCTTCTTATATGTGGACAGTCGGTTGTATCCAGGAGGCCGTGCATGACTTGGGCTAAAAGCATAAAAATAGTTTCTCTTATTATGTGTTTGTGCAGTCATAGCGTTCATACTAACGCCCATGGTGCTTTGTGCTGGGTCAAAAACGCCCAAATTATCGCCACTCTAGGAGAACTGCACGTAAACCATCAGCCTAACTGAGTTGAAACGTTTTCCTTTATTAAATGTAAAACGGTGGGGTCGCTGAACACGCTCTGTCTTATTTTCTGTAACCATTTTGGTGAACATGCATCCTAGAAAATGGGGTCTGGTTTTGTTTGACCCGGGGTGCCTGTCATTGAGGCCTAACTGCGAGCGAAGACTCAAATCTAGCCACCCGTTAATACAGAGTGGGATCTCCTCACCTTAAGCCACCGGGGAGACGAGAGCAAGCTCATTAAAATTCCTACTAGGAAACTAGTAAAACCTGCTTTTGGTTAATGTGAGAGCTGATTGCACGTGGCAATGACTACCTGTTTTTGGGTTTCTGTTTTTTACGACTCCTGTTGAAACCAATTGTCGGCTCAGCGCACAGCCAAGCACCCATCATCGCTCTATGGTTGTGCTGTATATATTATATTTCCAGTTACTCCTTACTGGGTTGTTTTTTGTGTGTGTTTTTTGGGGGGGGCTGTGTGTAATTTTCCCAGCTTCCTTTTCTGGTTTCTCCAGAGTGTTTTCCCTTAGCTATGTCCTTGCATCTGTTTGGTGTCTGCTCCCTCCTGTCTTTGCTCTGGATGTGACTGTATTAACCGTTGTTTGGTAGATCACATACCTGAGAACAGTATAGGATGTCCCTCCCCCTCCAGAAACAGACCAACCCATGCACTGGGTCATCCCTCTCATGCAGAGCAGTGATGCTAACAGATGCACCTGCGCCTCGTGTTTTGTGCTTTGTTTTTTTTTTTTGTTGTTTTTTTGCAGCAAACATCAGATTTGTGTCGCTCTCTGAAGCCATAGCCAGCACTCTGGGATCAGTGTGAGGCTTTTTGGTGCATGTGGTAATGCTCATTCTGGTTGTTCAGCCACCCGACTCTCACCGTGCTTTTCTCAAAGGGCTGCCTTCCACTCCTTGCTTTTTTTTTTTTTTTTTTTTTTGTAAATGTACCCGCCTCTTTTCTGCTTACCCACAGCTGAATTGGTGAACACTGCGCGCCACCGCTGCCGCTTTCCGCCTCCCTTCTCTGGTAGCCATGTGTCCGTCTCACCCACATCATGGACGAGGGAGAAACTCGCTCCAATCACGCGACTCAATCAGCACGTCTGCACTTTGTCTCTCCAGCCTTGCCCCCGTTTTGTTTTCCCTTCCCCGCCCTGTCTAGCATCCTGCTTGTTGAGCTTTAAGTTTAAAGTGTTGCGTGTTTTCAGACTCATGGATGGTCTGCGGTGATTTGTCTATGTACAAGTGTTTGTGTATCTGCTCATCAGTAACGTAAAGCCAAGACTCCTCTCGTCATGTGCGTGTGTGAGAGATGGAACTTGTTTCTTTGCCGCCTGGGCCGTCTCCCTGCAGTTACCTGTAGTTTCAGATCTTTGAGATGACTGTCATGCAGATGTTTTGTTTCATATGTACATTTGGGCTGCCCCTCTTATTTTATTTTGTTTTTTGGTTTTGTTGTTGTTGCTTTGTTTTTCTTTTTTTTGTGGTTCAGCCATCAAATCAAACATCTCACTGGTTAATCATGAGAACAACCCAAGAGGTCCATGTTTTGCTATCCTCCTGACACACACAGACACTCCCCCTCACTATCTATCTTAGGGGGTGTATCTGTGTGTTTATGAAAAGTTGCACTTAAACACACCATCTACATTCACACAAGTTTAAAGGCCCATCTGTCACAGGGCCTGTTTCCAGATATTGATTTTAAATGGGTCGTCTTATTATTGCTATTGTTGTTATATTGGTGAGATATTGTTTGGGGTAGGTTTTTTTTGTTTTGTTTTGTTTTGTTCTTTTTAACATAAAAGGGAGTTATAGTTGGGTGTTGTTGTTTGTTTTGTTTTTTTGGAGGGTTTTTTTTCTTTTGTTTGTTTTTTTTTGTTTGTTTTTTGTTTTTTAATTAGTATGTTTTTAATTTGTATTTTTCTTATTTCTTTTATGGGCGTGATTATTATTGACAGTGTTTTCAGTCAGGAAACTTGGTTTGTTTTGTTTGTGGTTTTTTTTTGGTTTTTTTTCCCTTACAAGATCTTATAAGGAATTATTTTAAAAGAACATATAAGTAGACTGTCAAAGAGATATGAGTTGTTGAGGGTTATAGTCTGTATATTCTATGGGTATTATGAATTAAACGATTAACAAAAACACGTTATATACATACAATTGAATAAAATTTCCTGATACTGTTGAAATTGTGATGTGGTCTCGTTTTCTCTTTTTGTTTTTTTTATTAGCTAATAAAAACATCAAAAGATACTTTATATTCAAAGGTCAATATTATTTAGTTTTATAGGTTTAATATTGAAATTCATCGCCAATATTGTAACCTTTGAGGAAGCACTTTGACAACAGTGCAAGGCAAGAAGAGATGTCGAACTACAGGGTGGGGGAAAGGTTACCAATGTCCAGTAATGGTTTATAAATAGTGGTCCGTATTTTGTGTGTGTGTATAATGTGAAAATTATGGGTTCTATCACAGAACCTTGTGGAACTCCATAATCAAGACTTTTCTTGTGCCATTTCTTGTGGATTTTTATGTGATGAATCCAAGTACACTGCTAATCAGAGTATAGCATCATGTCAGTAGAACCTGTGGGAGATTGATCTGGACATTTAAGTAGCAGAGGGGGGTTGTTAATTGGTTTCGGCTGCTTTGGTGTTAATGAAATTATCAGCAGGTGCAGCAGAGGGGCAACAATGAGACACCCTCTTAAATAGGCACTGTTTTACAGGTAGAGGCCACTGACATTTTTCCCCTCATCTGTTCTGCTTGTTGTTGTTTTTCACTAGTTTTGTTTTTTCATTTGACTTGGGTCACTACAGGTAGCATGAGGCGATACCTGGACCCTACCATGGCATGGGATGGGGATTGCATATCAAAACGTACCATTGCTAGAAGGTTAGAATGTCTCCTAGCACAGTCTCAAGAGAACGGAGGAGATCCCAGGAGACAGACAGTTACTCTGAGAGCTGGACAGGGCTGTAGAAGGTCCTTAACCAATCAGGAATGAATAAAATTTTGGCAAAATGGACTAGCCTGCCACATCTATTTTTTTTTTTTTTTTTTTTTTTCCCCCCCCCCACTTTGATTTTGGGAGTATCTTTGAATGGAGCTCTGTGTTTTCATTTCCATGTCGATATCAACATATTTTCCCCATTGAGATTTGATGTGTTTTCAAAGTGTTCCTTTAATGTTTTTGAGCAGTGTAAAAGGAGCTGTAACACTGATCTGCCTTTGAGCTTTCACATCCTCCTTCATATCATGTCTCAGCATGACTGTAAGTTTAATATGCACACATGTATGTCTCTATATATCTCTACCACGTGTGACAGCAGGAAAACAGAAAAGTGGCAAACAGTGGGGTGTGATCTGTCTTCTGTGCGATTTGCACGTCAAAACGAGACACCTGTAAATGTAGGAAAATGCTGGAAGCTCTGATTTGCCCTGCAGTGAATGGATTTCTCTGTTCTCATGAAAACCAGGCTTGTTGTAACACATCACTGCAGGCTCGGCCCGTCACACAATTGTTTGTCACATTCCAGCTTTGCCATTCAAGTTGAACAATATGCTGCTGCTTATCCTGCTGACTTTGGACTGTACGTGGCATGTTGTGGTGAGCACTGCTTGCAGATAGATGGTTTTCATATTTCTGGCCTGGTCAAAGCAAAGTTTACCTACTCTACATTCCACATCCCCTTTGTCAAATACAAGATAAGAAACTTGCCACGCTGCCTGCGATGCATTTGTTTCCTAAGTTATCAGCTTGTGTTTAAGCCCAGCAGCACATTACATCTGGAAAAAGCAATAGATGGCTAATTGCACTCATCTGGCAGGTAATTTGTAGTCATATGCTGTTTTAGGATATTCTGTATTATATTAGCAATACTCCAGCTGTGTAGCAGAATAAAAGTAATCATTAGAAAGGTGTTGCAAGACAGAGGTACAGGTATGATATAAACCTGAACAAAAGCATAAAAACAGCATTACCACTGGAAGGGGAGAGGCCAGAGCGAGAGCCCTGTGGGGTTGTGAGCTGGTGCTTCATTAACTGACTTTTACAGCTCTGAGGGTTCAGCTGTACCTGCTAAGAGTAAGACTGAAATTCAGGGGTGGGACTTTTTTCTCTGTCGTACCAGTCTGTCTGGATTTTTTTCTTATCTTCCCACAACAAGCTGCTGGTTCTTCAGAAAAGTTTTTGGGTCTGGCCACTTGTGATTGGAGGGAGAAATCGAGTTGTCATTTTGAGATTGTCTTGCTGAGCAAGTTTTTTTCTTTTGCTGGTGCTTCTGGTCAACCTGAACTGTGAGATCTTGCAGAGACTCTCTCAGGGACTCGCTGAATGTGCATGCAGGAAAGGATGATCAACTTTTTATATTTTTTCCTCCCAGTGTTGGGAGGATACACCCTCACCTCGGTTTACCTGCTAAAGAACCCACAGATTCTCCACAGGAAGAAACGCCCTGCTTTCTACTGCAAAAAGATCGCACACAGAGGAGGTAAGGATCTGCAGTCAATGTGTGGGACTCAAAGAACATGATGTGTGGAAGTGCTGACCGGACTGGGCTTGGCATGCAGTCTCTGTGCCCTGAGGTCTGAGTTTTAATCTGCCTCAAGTCCATCTGTAAAGCAGCTGCATGTCAGTCAGTAATTTAACTGGAGAGAAGCCCAAAACACTGATGCTATTGAATGTTATAGAATGCTTTTGCTTCACTTTCCAACATTTTAAATGCTAATTTCTTTCAGCAGCTGCAGATTTTAGTCCTGTGGGTTAAAGCCTTATGTATGAAGCTTTCCCATGGGGTGCCCCTGATTTTTCTTACTGCTTTAAAGATGAAGTCTTTGAACAAAAGGCCTGTTTTTTATATCTAAATCTTATTTTACTGTGCAGATACTTTTTTCTGTTCTACCACGAAGCTCAAGCTGAAAAGTTAATGTGCAATTCTAACTGATGATGTGATTTGCTGTAATGTTTAGTAGGACCAGTTTAGCAGCTCTCTATCTGAGACATTTTGAGTACTTCGTATTTTCTGACTACTGGCATAATTTCTATGAATTTTAGGATCTGGAGAGAGGATAGAGAGCACCATGGAGGCATTCACACAGTAAGTACCACACTGCCCTCTTTGAAGTGCTGTGAAAGAAGAATGCATCAATTTTTACATGATGGCAGACTTTTTAGACACCACACCCCCGACCCTCCCCATTCCCAAAAAAGGTGTATTGCTAAAAATGTGAAAGTGATGCACACACCCCTGACAAACGGTGGAGTCATCATTTTAATTATTCGTATCTTTTCTCTGTTGTCAGTGCGGCGGAGCAGGGCACTGAGATGCTGGAGATGGATTGTCATTTGACACATGATGGCTTTGTGGTGGTATCACATGATGAGAATTTGCTGAGGCAGACTGGCCATGATGTCACAATCTCCTCGCTCAATCTGCAGGTAAGAAGCCGGATCCTGCTGGACTGGGGCAAAGGTCACAAGGCCGTACTGAGACAAGAAGTGGTAATCTTTCAGAGACACCTGCTCTGTTTCTGTTTCATAGATGAGCTTTGTTACATTCATTGTTACACATGAGACTATGTGAGTTTTATCTTGAGCACTACGTCTCAAATATACAATTTTTTTGTGGCACAGATTCAACAAGGTGCTGGATACAGTACTCAGGGATTTTAGTTCATGTTGACATGATGACATGAGACAGTTACTGCAGATTTGTTGCCTGTATATAAATGAACCTCCTGTTCCACCACATCCCAAATGTGCTCGATTGGATTGGGATCTAGCGAGGCCATTTGAGTACAGGGAACTCAATTTTTGTTTTCTAGATGTTTGAGCTTTGTGACATGGTGTGCTATCCTGCTGGAATCAGTTATGAAAAGATAGGTACACAGTTCATAAAGGGATGGACATGTCAGCAACAATACACGGGTAAGATATTTTCTTGGCCCCAAAGTGTGCTAAGAAAATGTCTGACACTTGCACAAGATGGGATCATGTTATTTACACCATAATTCTGATCCTAACATTCAAATGGCACAGAAAAACATCAAGATTCACACCAGACAACATTTTTTCCAGTCTTCTATTGTCCAATTTTATTGAACTTGTGCAATATTAGTCTCAGTTTCCTTTTCTTAGCTAACAGAAGTGGTACTTGATGTGGTCTTCTACTGCTAAAGACCACCTGCTTCAAGTTTTGACATGTTTAGAAATGCTGTTCTTCATAATTTGGTTGTTACACGGGGATATTTCACTTATTGTTGCCTCATCTTGAAGCAGCTATGCTATTCTCCTCTGATTTCTGACATTAACAAGGTACTTTTACCTACTTAAATCCCCCCCACCCTGATGCTCAGTTTGAACTTCAACAGGATGTCTTGGCCATGTCCGCATACCTAAATGTAATTGCTGCCATGTGATTGGCCGATTAGATATTTGCATTTATGGGAAGCTGAACAAGTGTGAGTGTATAATACTCTAGAGCAGCGGTCTCCAACCTTTTTTGCGCCACGGACCGGTTTATGCCCGACAATATTTTCACGGACCGGCCTTTAAGGTGTCGCGGATAATAAAACAAAATAAAACTAACGGTACCGAAAAAAGATTTATTCATAACACACGTGAAAAGACCCAGGAAAACCGAGTTAACGATAAAAACGATAACAAAATAACGCTGAAAACCGATAAAAACCCTGAAAACCATACATTTCACATCTGAGCCTCAACTCTCGCGGCCCGGTACCAAACGACTCACGGACCGGTACCGGTCCGAGGCCCGGGGGTTGGGGACCGCTGCTCTAGAGTTCAATTTAGTTTTATTGTAAAATGCAGAATAACTGCTTAAAAGTCAGTTTTCACTTCCAAACAATCTGGTAGTTCCTTAAGCTCACATGAGACTGCCAGATTCGGTTGTAATGCTACTGTGAGCTACGGGGCTTTACATGTTATTGCATGTTTTTCCATCCAGATTTAACAGCACACTTATTTACTGTAGCAACATTACTTACAGAGCTGCATGGAGGCATCTTTTAATTCTTTTAAATTCACCATAATCTTCAAAAAGGGCACGCTGCTTGCATTACTCTTGAGGTTTCCTCGGAAACAAAGCTGTAATTTCTCAGTAAGAGTTTGTTCAAGCATCAGATTACCATCAAGTGAATGTTTGCATCCGGCTTTGTTGCATGTACCAACTCAGCTGGGACAACAATACTAAGAATATCCGATGGCGTACACAAATTCTTTTCACCTTAATCACATCATAGTAAATTCACCTTATATCTCTCTGTTCAACTCTGTTTTAAAACTTTTAGGATTTGCCTTTGTATAAGGAGAGACTGGAGGTAACATTTTATGAAGGTGAGTTCCTCCTGTTATATCTAATTGTTCATTTTTAATGAAAAGACATTTGAAGAAGAAATGCATCTATAACAATAATCATCATCATAATCATAAATCAAACACTGTATGTTGAAAAATGTATAGACAAAACAATCAAACAACTACTGTTTAAAAGTGACAGAATAAAAAAAAATGAGCTTCCCCAATTTCCTCCAGCAGGACATCAGTATTAATACTCTGGATCAGAGTTGGCTAGTGATACTGAATTCATATCCAAGAGAGGGGAGCAAAATTAGAGGGACTCTGAGGAGTAACCTTAAAGCCTGAATCATTAAATAATTGCCAGACTATGAAACTTCTAATTAAAAATAAAATTAATAAATATTACTTTGTATCATATGTGCTACATCCAGCAATTTTCTTACAATTTATTGTTTAATTCACTGTAAAAGTTATTGCCATAAGGAGAAATACAATTATCTGCAAAGAAATCATAGCTCACACTGTATTTGTTAATTACATAGCCAAATCATAAGCGATCGGTTAGAAACAGCAGGAGGCCAACAATGAAACCTTGTGGAACACCGTTTCTTAGCATCACTATAGCTGACTGCACAGATTATCAGAACACGTGTAGACACAGATGAAACTAATATAAAAGCAAACCTGAAACGCAGGTACTATATTAAAAGAGTGATAAAAGCAGCAGACAGATCCCAGATGAGTAAAGCAGTGTGGTGCACCACAGTCAACTGCCATAACAAGTTAATTTCTTTCTGATATGCTCATGCATCTAATGTGACTTTACTTTTCACCCCTCCTTTTCTTTAGGCCGTTACAGCACTGGCAAGGACAGGAAGTTTGCTCTGCTGGAGGATGTGTTCAAGAAGTTCCCTGAGATGCCGATCAGCATTGAGATCAAAGAGAACAACCACGAGCTCATTAAAAGGGTACACGTTAATTGCCCCGAAAAACCAACACCAAACTTCTACCACAATTTCCTGATATATGAAAAAGCTTCAGCTTTTCAGGATTGAATCAGGCCTCTTTGAGGTGGATACATTGTCTAAATTCCAGTCAAGGTGGACAAATTATGAGTGATTTTCTAACTACAAGGCTAGGGAGCTTTTCCTGTGCAATTCTAAATATGTTGTCCACCTTATAAACAGTGTCCACAGTTTACTGCCCAAGTCTAGCACAGCAGCCTCTGTGATTGCTGTGTCTGCTGCACCACTTGCACTCTTACACCTTCGTGTCATCATGTCCTGAATGCTAATATTTGTTTCCCACTTGATTTTATGTTTTTAGGTGTCTGATCTGGTTAAACGCTACAACAGGGAGGGGATCACTGTGTGGGCTTCCGCAGACTCCACGATCATGAAGCAATGCTGGAAAATGGTACATTAACCAGCTGGAGGAGATGAGTTACCTGTATAGCATTAACACACTTTACTCATTATAACATTTTAATTGCATGCAGGAAATGCATGAAATGAAGCTATATGATGGCGTTACAGGGTTTCCTTAGCTTTTCAGTATGGTTTTCAGCATGATTCATAAACACCGCCTCTGTACCAGTGTTGTCACCCAGCATGTCTGTGTCTCTTTTCTCTCCTTCCACGTAGAACGGCTCCATGCCGTACAGTTTCACTATGAGCCGAGGCCTGCTGCTTCTGCTTCTCTTCTACACGGGGCTGCTGCCCTTTGTGCCAATAGGAGAGAGTTTGCTGCAGTTCTACCTAATGCGCATCTTCAACAGGTGTGACTGCAGGAGTGTGTTCAGTGCATGCTGAGTAAACTGTGTCCATTCATGTGCATGCACAGTCCTTTTTCTGTTAAGACGGTGACGCTTCATGTTCTTGCTATCTATGCTCACTGTGTCTGGACTGCCTAACTGAGCCCATTAACATTTTTCCTGGTTCAAAATGAGAATTTGAATGATGATGGTGAATAACAGCTAAGCATGACTGGTTTAAGTATGGTACAGGCTCTGGGTCTGTGTTGCCTTATTTGGGGGAAAAACCAGCAATTTTCCCTTTGGTTTTAAATTCTGACCGTTTACTTTGGGGGGGGGGGTTGTAGTTGTGAATGTTTATGTTCTGCTTGTTCAGCTGTGGTTCATACATTTCTGTTAAACACATTCAGATTTATGATTTACTTTTATTTATAAAACTCTGGGAGCACTGAAAGTTTCTCTGTGCAATGACAATTTAATCATGTGGTTGTAAGCCTTTTTCTGCGACCTCTTGGTTTTTATTCTCTCAGATACTTTTATTTCATAAAAGTGTAACTGTGTCTTACTCTGTCTCTGTGTGCGCTGAAGGACATTCATTCCCGATGAAGCTCTCCTGAGGAACAAGCTCGTTGTGTGTTTGATAGAAAAGTAAGAGAAGTATTAAAAAGGACTATGGTAGTTGTTCCTACTCACTTATTTATTGGTCTTGAAATCTAAATTATAAATGCCAAAAATCGACAAAACATTCAGTCCTCACTACACTGAAAGATTGTTTACACTGCTAGCTTAAATCTAGCATTTTAAGCACAGTGTGCAGTTTGTGTTTTATTTTAAATTTGCTTCTTTCATGCTGTCATTTCAGAATAACTATGAGGAAGAGTCTTTTTAGGCACCTCGCTGCCCGTGGAATTCAGGTACGAAATCACATTTCTAAGTGTTTACAGCACTGTGCTTGAAAGAAGAGTTAAAGAAATGCAAAGAAAGCCAGAACTGTGGAATATAAACATATCAGAGTAAAATAAAACACTAAATACTGAGAGGCAAATATGAAAAATATCACAAATGTTTGTTTACCTTGTCAAAGGCTCTTTGTCTTATCAGAGTTTTGTTTGCTCATTCTCATTTAGATAGAAACAGTGCAGGGACCACAAGTGTGCTCAGAAACTTTCCTGGAACAGTTTTGCTTCACCTTTTACTTTGCTCTTGTGTCTTCCATGAAAAGATGAACAGGGAATCCCCAAAATATAATTCCTGTTAAAGTCAATGGATTTGATTTTTCTCCTACTAGTCACTGCATGGTCAGCTGCATGATGCTATTCAAACTCAACAGGTTATGATCTAACACAGAAAGCACTTCAGCATGACAAATAGTTGACCTCACACAACCACTATGAGTGTCCTGAATGCATCATCTCTATCCTGATGTGATGAGATCAACCCTGTTGTCAGGACATGACTCCACTCAATAGCTGGAGAAAGTAACACTCTTTAAGCTATGTGATATTTATATTTTGTCCTTGTTGTATTTCAACACTTTTTTAAATAATGCCAAAGTAGCAACCAGGAAATGTTTCTTTCTATATCATCTACATGTTGTTTTTTAGTGTTTTGGGGAGAATTTGTGGGCATGTTAAAATCCAAGTATTTTAATCAGTGATTCAGTAACATGTCCACACGATTTACAGCTTATCAGTCCACTGAATGTCCTAATCAGTCCTACTGATATTCCCTCACTAGACTCTTTAGTAGGTAATTGGTGCCGACTACCAGGTTTGTGTCCTTTTGCCTTCAAAACTGCCTTAATTCTTCATGGCACAGATTCAACAAGGTGCTGAAAACATTCTCCAGATATTTTGGTCCATATTGACATGATGGCATCACACAGTTGCTGCAGATTTGTCAGCTGCACATCAGTAATGTGAATCACCTGTTCCACCACATCCCAAAGGTGCTCTGTTGGATTGAGATCTGTTAACCTTGGAGTCTATTTAAGTACAATGAACTCATTGTCGTGTTAAAGAAACCAGTTTAAGATGAGTTGAGCTTTGTGACTTGGTGTATTATCCTGCTGGAAAGAACTAGTGAACCAAAGGATGGGTACGCTGGTCATAAAGGGATGGACATGGTCAGCAACAATACTTGGGTAGACTGTGGTGTTTATCTGATGGTCAGTTGGTACTAAAATGCCTAAAGTGTGCCAAAAAATATCCCCCTCACCATGACCAAACCGTTGATACAAGGTGGGCTCATTTTCATGATGTTTATACCAAATTCATCATCTAAATCTTGCAAATCTTGCAGAATTCAATATTCATAAGACCAGGTAACGTCTTCTGTTGTCAAATTTTGGTGAGTCTGTGGGAACTGTAGCTTCAGTTTCCTGGTTGTAGCTGACATGAATGGCACCCAGTGTGGTCCTCTGCTTCTGTAGCCCATCTGCTTCAAGGTTCAACATTTTTTATTTGTATTCACAAATGCTCCTCTGCATGCCTTGGTTTTAAGGAATGGTTGAGTTACAGTTACCTTCCTGTCAGCAAAGCAGCCTGGCCACTCTCCTCTGACCAGAGAACTACAGCTCACTGGGTATTTTCTTCCTTGGACCATCCTTTGTAAAGCCTGGATATGGTTCTGTGGGAAAATCCCAGTAGATCAGCAGTTTATTCTTTTTTTTTTTTTTTTTTAAGACTCATACCAGCCGTTTGGCACCAACAGCCACTTTCAAAGTCATTTCAATCACATTTCTTCCCCACTCTGAAGCTCGGTTTGAACTTCTGCAGGTCATTTTGACCACGTCTACAGGCAGCCATTCGACTGGCTGATTAGATATTTGTGTCCACGAGCAGCTGAACAGGTGTCCCTAACAAAATAGCCAGTGAGTCTCGGTGCTCACCTGTTAACCGGCTCGTTCGGCTAATAAGATTAGCTTTGCAACATGCTCCATGAAAAATTTTTCCCTTGTTTTCTCTGTTTCCTAGGATACATATTATTCTAATCAAGATGAATGTGACACTTTTGTTGCCATTGCATTGATTATCAATATCATTTTGTAATGGTTATTTATCTACACTGTAGCCTGAACAACTGTCCCATGGTGCTTCAGATTTTCTGCTGCCATACAAGGAAAAACAAAGCAGTGAAATGTCAGTTTTTAACTGAAGATAACTGTTGCAATTGCAGGTGCATTTATTTGTTTGCAACACAGAAGAAGACATAGAGGCGGCATTAGAAGTAGGAGCCACTGGAGTGATGAGTGACTATCCAACTCTTCTGTCCAGCTACTTCTGCAAAAACAGAAGTCAGGACTGAATCCAAGCACACCATCACATGATGGCAACAATGACACTGATAAAAACGGCTAATGCAACATTTGTTGAAGAATCTTTGGTCTACATAATAATCGCCATGCAGTGGGAACACAACTATCATTAATCTCTTCGGTGCTGACCTTTAATCGCTGCTGACGGAATGACTTGTTTGTCATGGGATCGTCTCTACAGCCTCCACCCACAAACAAACCATGGCATTGATTTGGTCTGCAGCACATCTAACGAGTGAATATTTAACTAGCTGGACTGTATATCTGATTAAATGTGACTTTATTTTGAATGTCTCTAATGTTACTTTCTGCCACTTTTAAGATAGGGCTTGAGAAATAAATGATTATGAATAAATCACTTGCATTTTGGCTTTTATATTCTTTTGGGCCATTAGAAGATTACAAGGTAATTACTGGCAGTACAAACATGAATACAGTACAGTGTGTTACGGAGCAATCTAGGCAGCATAGTGCGAATCTCTTTGACCGATTTTCTTGACCTAAAAGAGACTGTAGAGAGTGTACACATGCTGTAAACCTCACCTGTGTCCTTGTTTTCCCAAGCAACTATGGTCAAAGTCCAGCCACCCGGCCGTGATAATAATCAACCAGTTTGTTGGTGAAACAAAGAGGGTATTTTTCTGTGTAGGTTGGCGACGATCAAGTTAATGGGATATACCTGGATTTATGCAAAAAAATAATAACAGTAGGCACCGAGAGCAAAGTAGCAATAAAATAAGATGTCTTGGTAGTATTGAGACACTTGAGACAATTTCCCATATTTTGACTGGTTCGGGAGGACATGCAAATCAACTCAGTTTTATTTATATAGCATCAAATCACAACGAAAGTTGCCTCAAGGAACTTTACATGTAAGGTAGAGACCCTACAACAATACAGAGAAAGCCACAACAATCAAGCAACCCAGTATGAGCAAGCACTTGGTGAGAGTGGGAAGGAAAAACCCCCTTTTAACAGGAAAAAACCTCAAAACAGAACCAGACTCAAGGAGGGGCAGTCATCCACCATGGCTGGTTGGAAGTGATGGTAGGGACACGGGACTAAAACACTGTGCACTTTGCACTTTTCTAAACTCTGGTTTTAACCCAGTGCGAACGGTAGGCCTTTTATTATAGTGAGAAGAAGCTTAGCCAGTTTAACGCCATAATCATCAGGGAAAGCTACAAGTCAACAAGTTGCACACTTGAAGAAGAAAATGAAGTTCCAGTATATTCTGAATAATGTGGTGTGAAGTGACACAATATATGTGTTATAATTAAATAAAATTGCTGAACTTTTCAGATGTGGCAAAAGAAAGCTATGCAAATCTATGGATAGATTCAAACTGAAGGCCCCAAAATGCAGAAATCACAGTGAAAGTACATAAAGACTTTCCATATGCATGACTATAAGAACAAACTTCAGTTTCCCTTTATCTTTACTGTATTTGCTTAGCAAGACAGTTTGAAATATTGTTCAATTAGCCTGTACGTGCCTAGTTTATTGTTTGTTTGTTTTTATTTTTAAGTCATCATTGCTGACATGTCCCACTTTCTCCCACACAAATGCCACATATGCCCTACATTTAGTTTGTTGGGATCTGCTCACCCTAGGCCTAGGTCATTGATCAACATTTAATGTTACATGTTGCTGTACCACAAAGCAAGGAAACTGCAGGAATTATAACCAAACGTTTCAAAACTAAACTAGAGATCAGTGTAATAGACCGCCTGCCTGTGTGTCATAAAAATACACACACACACACACACACACACACACACACACACACACACACACACACACACACACAAGAAAGGCAAAGGACATGCAAAGGAGCAGTCAAGAAACCACAACAAATAAAACCCTTCCCTCAGGCTCATATTCCAAGAACTCCTGGAAACTGTCACAGTAGCAGGTTAGCATGTTGTTCTTGCTCTTATTGGTCTGATCTCTACAGAAGCACTATGCTTGTTTTTGAAATTATTTTTAATCCCAGTCCGACAGGCCGGAGATAATAACACACTTTCAGCATTTATGAAACACTACCAAACAGCAATCAAATCGATAGCCATAAAAGGCCCCGGTAAGATGGAATCTGATTGGTTGACCCACATTCTAACGTCACTCGGAGGCTCTGATTGGTCAGCGGGGATTTGTTTTGCACTACCCAGACTTCCTCCTATGCGTGTTTTCATAAACAAATCGCATTTTCCCTCCCGCCGAGGTCGCTGCTTTCGCTCCTTGTCAGCCTGCCAGCTTTGTCGGCGTCCAGCTCCACTTTTAAAGAAGGTCGTTTCGGAACTTTGAGCGCTGGTTCTGGTTCAAAAAACAAAAGAGAGACGCGGGTAAACGGGCTCCGCTTCAACAGCCAGAGCTGTCTGTCCTTTTTTGTGTGTCCGAACCGCCAACGCGTGGTCGATCGTTTCTCACCAAACTGACCGTTTTTCTGCCTTTTACCTGAAGTTTTTCAGCTGCCGGCCACACCAGTCCGCTGTCTAGACTGTGGGGAGCTTCGGTGTTTTTAGGTGAGTGGACGGACACCGAGAAATGTCCTGCAATGCGCATCTGCGCTGCTGCCGCTGCTGTTGTGTGTTGACAGTGCGGAGCTAGCGGGCTAGCTAACACACTAAGCTAGGTCAAAGCAGAGCTAGTGGCCCGATATACTCCTGCAGCTGGCAGATGCACCATCAGTCCGTTTACGTTGACTGGTAGACTGACAGTGCCTGTACAGTCCTTGAATTTGGGTTAACTGCTGCATTTATCTAAGCAAGGGTTATTTGTGCCAACTATTAGAAACCAGGAAGCAAGCTGCCTGGTTAACTAACCTGTTATTTTTGACTAGTCTCAGCTAACAATGCATCCATACCTTGTAAAGTCACCCTCTGCCATCATACATTTAATCATTGAAAAGAAGATGCATGATTGAAGCTGACAAAGAGTCCAACCCAGATAGCTTTCATTCATTAAGGATGAATGACCTTAAAACCTTGATGTTAGATAGCTCAAACTGTTAGTTACAAACTCCAAATTGTTAAATACTAATGCAAAGGCTTGAGGGAGTAAGTCACACCTTTATAGTGCTGACTTTCAATTTTCACTTGGTGTATAATAGTAGGACTTTGGTCATAGATTTTTCTGGACCACATCTGATCAGGTGATTAACAGATTTTCTCTGGGTCCAGCCTCATTGCAGTTTGACAGTGCTCAATTTTAGTTTAGTTTTCTTTGTAGTTATTATAATACTGGGGCTACTTATCAGGGGCCTGGTTGAAGAGATTACAGTAGTAGCACTTTGTGAAGGCAGTTGAAAGTCATGTAGGCATCCTAAGTCTTAATACAAAACACCTCATCAGGCTGGTTGTGTTGACAATGGGCTTTTTATAAGATAGACTTTTACCCCCAACTGAAAAATTCACGTTATTACATTATTATAGCAGCAAAATGAATAGAACAGGAACAAAATAAGTAGATTCAGCATTATAACATAACCTTTATTAATAATACTCTACAACAATAGAGAAAAATGTGCACTGTGCATATAGAAATATATATGGCATGGGACATTGCATAGTGCAGTGGTTAACAGCAAGATGGAATATAGACTATTGCACACAGTCTGACAGAAGATGGAAGGAACGTCCTGCTTTTGGTTTTTAGTTTGGCTTAACTTTAATAACCTTTGTGTCACATTGCGTTAGGGTGAAGCTTTATAGTCTTGTGATGGGGCTAAGGTTAATTCAAATGAGAAAGAAATCATCCTGTTTATGGTTAGTCAGATGGAAGAACTGTGTGCCAAGATCGCTAACCCATCATACAAACAATAATAAAAAAACCTCGTCTCTCTCTGTGTTTTTGGTCCTGCTCAGACATGGTGAAGCTGACAAAAGCCAAGACGTTCCAGGCGTATCTGGACTCCTGCCACCGCCGTTACAGCTGTGTGCACTGTCGCGCCCATCTGGCCAATCATGACGATCTTATCTCCAAGGTCTGTATGCCGCTTGTCTTTTTTGTTGATAATCATGTCAGATGCCATGCACATTTGCTTCATGGTTATTTTAGAAAGTTGCATCTGAGACATATCAGAGTTGGGTTTGCAGTCTGTCTCTAATTTATATTTTTCCTCCCTGTTTCCTAGTCTTTCCAAGGCAGCCAGGGCCGAGCCTACCTCTTCAACTCTGTGTAAGTATCAACTATTAAAAAGCAGGTTTTTCCTGTTTTCGGTTTCCAGTCTCACTTCTCCTGTAGACAGAAGAGGGAACTGTTGTTGTTTTTCACATCTCACTTGTATTCACAACAACTTTAAAGCCACTTTGTGCAAAAATGTTATTTTTTCACGCAAATCGTTTTATAAAAAGTCTATTTCTCGGTGAAAACACATTTCTAGTATCGCGCTTGTTTGATCAAACCACACTGAACGGACAACTTGATTTGCTCTAGTTTGGATTTTGAAGGTGTGTGAGCTCACGTTCTTCCGGGGTTAGTGGGTCAGGAGTACACACTGTTTGCGTCTTAAATATTAACCTACTAGCTCCACTCAGTTTAAATCTTAATTTGTTCAGGTGCAGCCCTTTTTGAATAGTAGGGTTTCATTAACATTTTCTCCTAAAGGAGGTTGTAGCTGTGCAGGAGAGGCTGTCCTTGAGTGATTACTGAAGAGAACAGTTTAATCACAGTGTGTCCATGCTTTTGTCTTCAGGGTCAATGTCGGCTGCGGCCCTGCTGAGGAGAGACTGCTGCTCACGGGACTTCATGCTGTGGCTGACATCTACTGCGAAAACTGTCACACCACGTTGGGCTGGAAATATGTACGTATATGTCCTCCAGCAAATACAGTGCAGGATTATTCATCTTTAAATCGCTTAAAGGCTTTTTGTTTTTTAATTCACTGAGACGTCCACACACACTTTTCTGGTGCCATGACGAATTTTATACATATCGCACAAATCAATTGGGACATTTTTGTAAGACGCAGAATGTGCACAAAAACAACAAAGAAATGATGTAATCAAGAACATCTGGACTTTCCAGTGATTGTTATGTGAATGTCACTGTCTGCATTAATGCATGAACTGCAAAAATTGTAAAGAAATACATGAGAAAATGACCCGTTTTCTCTCTTGATTTATTACTTCTGTAAACTTTTCCCTGATGACTTTATGGTCTCTGTCGCTGTTTTAAAGCCTTCATTAAGACAACATGCTGTTCATTTAGTGAATTATTATCTCCATTAGGAGTAAACGGCAAAGTGGGGTATGTTTCGGGGTGTGGCTTCACTCTGATTGACAAACTCTTACTGTTTGTTTGTGCAGTGTTTTCACTTGGGGTTGGGCTTTGCTAAAAGTCACTCTAAGAAGTAGCAAGATGTCAGATTAGTTGTCCACTAACCAGACATCATGTCAGCTACAGCTTTCTTTCATCTGTCATCTAACTTTTTCTCTCTTTCTAACAACTCCTTTCACCTTCCTCCTGCAGGAACAGGCCTTTGAACTGAGTCAGAAGTACAAGGAGGGGAAGTACATCATCGAGCTGTCCCACATGATAAAGGACAACGGTTGGGACTGAGAGGGAAATCTTCGTCTTTCGTCATGACTTTTTCACAAGTTGCGAAAACGGTTCCAGTGTAGCTTCTTCATCCCACGTTCGAGCCATCGCTGTGCCACACTTTCACTTCATACAGCTTTGCCAAGAATAGCATGTGATGCCTTATCTTTATCTGTTCTTCGTGTTTTGTTTCCTTTTTTTTCCAGCAAGCACGACAACACATTTGCTGATAATGCTGTCCTAAGTGCTAGTTGTGCAGGAGGACATGGATTGAATGAGTGCGGGGTTTGCGCGTGAGAACTTGGAGATGTAGTCACACGGGGCACCAGTTGGTGTTACATTTTGAGCACGCCTATTAGCGATTAAACCACTGAAACGGCCTCGCCCCGTGGTGGGCAGGCCGGTGCAAGTCAAATTATCTGATCTTAAACACTGGATGCAGGTATTTGGGTTTTCCTTTTGACTTTAAGGTGCATATTTAGATGTAAATGACCCAAACTGAGTGAATTATTTAGGCTTGTTTAATCCAGAGATCCCTTCTTTTTTGATGTGAGGGTATGGGAACGCTTAGAGAAGCGGGATGGGCTTTTTTTTTTATGAGTTAATGTTTTTAAGATTAGTAAAACTTGTTCATATTTTGCCTAAAAAGCCCACAAACATCTTGTAATTCATAATCTGGGGTAAGTCTTCCTCTTGAAGGTCTACCTTTTAGTGTGTGTTTGGGTGGGAATGTGTATGAGTGCAGTGTTTGCTCATAAGTCTTAAGCTGGATAGTGTTGAGAAGCATTGATCTGGAGTTGATTCACATTTAGATTTTCCACTGCACATTCGGGATATCTTCACTCTTAATGCGGATCCTTCATATGTTTGTGACCTAACACTAAAGCAGCCCTTAGATTTCCTAGATTGTGCTAGAGCAGAGTGTGATTTGGGTAATGTAGCATATTTATGGTGATTTTTTTTTTTTTTTAAATGTCTGCTTCTTTCATTAAAGTGTTTTTTATTTTAACCTGATATTTCATTAAAATACAGTATGCCAGTAAGACTTTTGTTTGTGCTGTGGTGTTTCATCTTATCTCGCTTCTGATTTTCTCATCAAGCTTATTTCTTCTTTGTGGTCAAATCCAGACAAAACACAGCCTGAGAAAGTTTCTGTTCAAAGTGCTGAGACAACACAAAAGTGTGAGGGCCAAATTCATAAAACAGCCAAAGGTAAAAGTAGCTTTTGATTGTCTGTTTTGGTGGGAAACTAATAAAAAGGAAGAATTAAAGTACTCACTTAGGCATATTCTGTAGGTCACACATCTTGTATCGGTGTCATTTTATATTATTGATGGTAGCGAGAGACAGATCAGTCCTTTTTTTAATCACCAGGGATTAGTTTACACTGAGTAGCTCGTGACTCTTTGATCCATCTCTAGTGCCTCCCTGTGGCTTTAAGAACAAACCTGATTTATTTATCATCTCCATAAGTGGTTCTTTACAAACTTTGGCATAAAAAGTAAGTAAATTTGTGTTTGCTCCATTATTTCTTTGTTGTAACAATGCTCTGCAATAAATCTTATATTGTTTGCAAGCCTGTTTATTGCCCCTTAAATGGTGCCACATTTGTGAGTTGTTCCCGTTATAAAATAGTCAAATCTTCTCGTCAAAGCCAAACAGCTTTTTCTGCTATTGAGCTTCTGGTACTGCAGGTGGCTCATTGCTGTTTGATTAGGAGCAACTGTGAGCGGGGACCCTGCTACAGCAGTCAGTTGGTGTCTGCTCCAACCATGGCATGTTTGACTGATCTGGATAGAGCTATGCTATAGGACAACTTCAAGCAGGTGTCCAGTCAAGGTTTGCAAAATGATCTGGCCGATGGCTGTTTACCCAGACAACCTGGAACAGACTGCACACAGCCAATCTAAGGTCTGGTCTGGCACAACCACACTGGCTGACTTCTGACGAATGCTGCTTGAAGAATGGGATGCCATCCCACAGCAGTTTGTGACCAGCATGGGGAGGAGGTGCCAGACTCTTTTGCCAATTAATACTTCTTCCCCCGCTTGTTAAATTAATAAATTGCTAACATGTTTTGTTCCTTCAGACTTCAATCATCCAATCCAATAAATAACACCAAACCAGAGTCAGTAGCAGAATGAGCTGTTTGGCATTGGCAGAGAAGATTTAGCAGGCTTTTTATTGGTCCAGCTCACATACTCATCTCTGCTGCTTAACCCACAAACAAATGTTGCACCATTTATGGACAGGAGAATAGGTTTTCCAGCAGGCTTATTATCAAAGCAGATCACTTTAAATCTGATTTATTTGCATAAAAACAGGTAGGACTCAGATTGGCCTGCATAGCTTTAAAACTACATTTTTGTAAATAATAAGTCAACAGTTTTCATTACTTTAATTTCATAAATAGTGATATTAAAATGAAAATGCAAATTTAAAAGACTTTAAATAGTTGCACCTATTAGTGATGCTGATAATAGTTGTGTTGCCTTTATTTACGGCTCAAATTCCTTTGTGTTCAGAAAACGTTCAGATGTGGCTGCATTTTTATGACATAACAGCAGCTTTTTAAGAAAATGTCTTTTTACGCATGTCAGCGGAGCTCTCGCCGTCTGTGTAACAAATCCGACTCTGTGCCAACAGATGGTGCTGGAAGTCAGCCAGCAGGTGGTGCTGTAGTGTAGTTATGTTTAGACACCAGTGCTGTGCAGAGATTTTATCACCTTTAATTCTTACCGCTCTCATTTCAGTGCCATCCGATCAGACCCAGATTTATTTTACAGCATGACAGCGAGTCCAAAAATACAGCCAGAGGCATAAAGCACTGTGTTCAGCTGTGAGGAGGAACAAGTAGCTTCATCCAGCAACAGATGGCTTGGCCTCCACAGAGCCCTGATCTCTGGGATTACATGAAGACACAGAAGACGCGGATACAGTAAATCCACAGCAGAACTGTGGCGAGCTCACAGAGGTGTTTGGAACAACCTGCGCCTGTCTCAAAAAACCAAAAATATACCTCTATGAGAGCTGGTGACATAAAATATCAGCTGGATTTATTCACTAACCTTTGTGCAAGGGGGATTCATAAAGAAACACAATGATACGAAGTATTTCTAAGAGCATCATCACTGTATTTAAGTGCCTTTAACTTCTAACCTTTAAGGCATGTTATAACTCTGCAATAAATCAATTTGTGGACACAACTGGTTTTGTAGTTTAAAATTTTTAAATTTGAATTGTTTTGCTGCAGAATTCAGACATCTATTCCATAAAGGATGTAGAATACCTAAAAATATTTGTAGACATTTACACATGTCTGTGGGCTAATTAAGTGGAGTAATTGCTGCGGTAACACACTGTTTACCTGCACATCTCAAAATAGAATACAAATGAGCAGATGAACTCAATTTAAGACACAAACTGTGTGATTAATGATTGTGTACAAAAGCCCTGATGGACTACACAAATAAGCATTAAAATGAAATCTACTCTATCAGTGAGCTAGCATTGGACCTGCCAGGGAGATCACATTTCCCTAAAGAGAATAAAAATGTAAAGAGGCGGTGATCATATGTTAAACACACACGTGTCACATGAATGGGCTCCAACAGCTAATCCTTTGCTGGAGAGGCTGCTGACAGTCATGTGTGTGCAGTACAATTTCAGCTGCTATGTGTTCACCTTTTCATGCCTGTGAGTGTTTTGTAATTTGATTCATGTGAGAAAAGTGAACAAATTCACGGATCTCCTGAATTTTCAGTTATACTGCATCATACAAGTTTCCATAAAGAAAAGCTGTGCAGTGGGAGGTAAGCCCACATATGAATCCACTCGCCTATCTGGAAATAATACAGGAAATAAAATACATCCTTTGGGAGACTAAATACGTTAAATCTACCTAGCAAAGTCGGGGTGGAGCTGGAAGGTGCTGGATTGACAGCTTTACAAGATGTGCACTACTCCTTTTATTTTTTTTTCTATTTATTTGTTTGTTTTAGCAAATTAACTTACAAACGGTATCTAAAAGGAATTTTAGCTGGTGCTGAATGCTGCTTGAGTCATACATCTCTTTTAGATGAGAAGGAAATCAAAATGTAACACCATGAGTTAAAAATGTTCCATTTAAACCGATGAATGTGTTTTTATAAAAAGGTTGAACCAAAAGTGTCAGAAGAGAATTTTAATGCCTTGCTTTTAAGACACTTATGGCTTTCAAGAGAATGAAATTCATGAGGATTTAAACTCAGCTTCAAATATGTGAACATTTACTAGTGATCGACACAGATTCATCTCTGACCCTTCAGTGGAATACAGCAGTAAAATCAGTAAAACAAGCTACTGTGATTAAGCTGATTTGATTTGGCTCAAACTTTATTATTCATCATGGCAAAGTAACAAAATATTTTGCAGAACAATCTCTCTTTAATCACAGCAAACATACATTTAATCAGGATCTGATCAAATTTAAAGATGACTAAAATCAAAGTTTGAGTAAGTCTATATTTTGGGGTGGAAGACCCCTTTAGCTGATATAAGAAACACCCATTTTCATGTTGGTGTCACCTTGAAATGACGACTCCGGGGTGCATCTTTAAGCTTTGCTTAGTTTCTTGAGTAGTTATTTGATATTTGGTCTTCCAAAGAGTTTCTGCTCTTATTTTAAATCCAAATGTCCCTGAAAGGTATTGCCCTGCAGAAAACAGCACACCACAGACATGCCCTGTAGGCTCCTGTGCTGGAGGATGGATGGATGGCGTTAATGGTTAATATGGACTCAGGGTTACTGTGTTTTCTCGCTGTGTCCACATTAAGCTGTTTATTTGTTGTTGTATTTTTAAATTATAGGGTGCAGACGCCGCTTTTGGTGGAGTCTGCTGTTTATTTTAAACCTAATAGTTAATACGCCAGCTTGCAGTGACGACTAGCGTTTCAACCGCAGTCAGTGCAGCTTGCAGCAGCAGCAGCAGAGCGTACCATATTTCATGGACGGGGCAAAAAAACTCATATAGCATGTTGTAGTAATAAATGCATTATGTGACATACAATCAATTTGAAATTCACTTTCAATTGCCTTGAATTTACAAACGATATTTTATTATGTAATATGTTTCAATGTGTATGTATTAATCAGCAGTTGTATTATTGGTTATATTATATTAGTGTCTGTTTGTGTCGAGCACCCCACTCCCTTACCCCCCGGGAAAATCTCTAAATGGAACCTTCCTGGGTGGTTGGCCACGTGACTTTTTCCGTTTCGCCATTTTCCCCTCTTCTACACCGGTCCTTTTGCTGTCCGCTACGTTGTCGCCCCCTCCTAGTGTTCTAAGTTGCCCGGAAGCCCAAGGTGGGATAGGGGAAACCCTGACGAGAAGTCCGTCTGCTCCGTAGCCGTATCGCCCTGAGGAAAAAGTGCGAGAATGTCTTCTGAGGAGAGCCCCGAGTACTCGCCTTTCTTCGCCGTGATGGGTGCCTCTGCGGCCATGGTCTTCAGCGGTAACTACACCAGCTTCTTCATCTTGGCATCCTCGTTTTCGCTGTCATAACGCTAACGGCTGGTTAGCTCGGCCAGGTGTTGAGTTCGTGGGTGATGTTAGAGATCAACCAGCGGCAGGGTTTGAGCGTAGAGAATCCCCGGCGCTTTCTCGACTCGCACACCTGCCAGGGGATGCGTTGCGAAGGAGAGGCGAGGGCAAGGGGGAGGGATTCCATCGACATCAAGCCGCTGTCCTCACCTTGCTCTTGCAGGCTGCCTCCCTCTGCGTGAGCCAGGCTGTAACTATGTGTCCCGGTTGCTGCTGGTTGGTGACGCACACCCATCAACGGAGGTGGCAGCTGACCTGGTCAGGCCATCTGTAATCTGCCATAATGGGGTTATTTCACGGAAACGGGAAGGCCAGAGATCTTGATGGAGGAAACATGGCATCCTCGCTAAAGGTTGCCGAGGTTTTATTGGTTTAAATGAGCTCCTGTGTTACAGGAGGGGAGGCAGCATCGGAGGCCTAAAGATCAACTGGAGAAATTAAAAGGGGGAAACCCACCC